TTTTGCACGTCGTTGTAAGACGGGCCGATCCGTCGGCGCGAGTACCCAGTCTCGCGGGCAACGCGCCCCGGCCGAGTGTTATTCGTGGATATTTGCGTAACTCGTGTAATAGTAATTTGTGAAGATTTGCGTGTGCGACGGTTCTCGTACCGTTCGCGCGAGAAATTACTGTCAATTGCGTCCGTGCCGTCTGAGTAGGGTTTATCGCGTACAGCCAGTTCCTGCCGTTGAGTTCGCGCCGGATTGTTCCGTGTCGCCGAGAGTATCGCGGCGTGTTGTTTCCCCCGATCTCGGGGCTTGAATTATTGTCGCCAGCGACGCCGCCCGTGATAGCGGCCACTCAACCGGCGTGTTAACGCCGCCTGATATTAAACCCGTTGTTATTTTTATTAATTATTTGAGTTTCTTTTCGTGTACGTCCCCCTTCGTGTGTCTCGTCCGTCGTGTGAGTTCCTTAAGTCCCGTAGCCTCTGGAATCTTAGCGGCAACCACCGCCCCGCCCCTCTACCGTTAGGCGAGCTAGCCTGCCCGTGACGAGGGCCACTCCATCTCGTTCGTGCGATTTCGCGAGTTTCGCGACGTGACGCGTGAAAGACCGCGTCTGGCGCCCAATCTTCGTTTTTCGCGTGGAGTTTTCGGCCCGCGGCACGGTACGCGCGGAGCTACCGAGATCCCGCTCCTCTCCAGCGCGTTATCATTCCCTTCCCCTTTTTGGTTTTTGCCGACGACCCGATCCGTCCGTATCCCGCGCTTCTCGCGCCCGGCGACCACACTCCCCGTCGTCGGCGCGCCTTCGCCTAAGATCCGCGCGCGACAGCGAGAGCGGGACGGCAACACCCGTCCGTCCGCGTATAACGGGAGGGCGGAGAAAACTTAAAGAAAAGGAAAAGTCCGTCGCAGGACAATGGGATTTTATTACTCAGTATTCCACCTCACACGTCTCACAAACTGCAACCATTAGATAGGACGGTCTACGGCCCGCTGAAAACATTGTTTAATAAGGCTTGCAACAATTACATGATTTCGCACCCGGGAAAACCACTAACGATTTACAATATATCTTTTCTTTTCGGGCAGGCATACGAATCGGCCTTTACAATGAAGAATATAAATCGAGGCTTTCAGGTAACAGGCATATGGCCTTTCAACAGCAATATCTTTGACAAGGACGAATTTCTATGCTCTTCTGTGACTGACCGGCCTCAAGCTTCAACTTCATCTAACAATGAGCTCGGGATCAAAACTGTGATTTCAGAAAATTTGAATAACGCAAGTGCAATTCAAGTGGTGGCCGAGCCAGAAACGACAGTAGAATTTGACATCTCGAACCTAGAAGATTTTCCTGTCGTCTTCGAAGATGCAGCAAACGCTGATGCTATTGTTCAAGGTCAGGAGTTACTGGTAGAGGTTTCTTATGCTGAGCCACTGAATATTTCTAATCAACCTAGCACATGTTCGGTGGTGGACATTCCAGTTACGTTGAACGCAATAGATGTTTCGACTTCTGATACTACGAAAATCAAGGAGATTTCTAAGAAAAGCGTGCAGGTTGCTAGCACAGCTAGTAACAAATTAAATAAAAATTTTATTTTGCCGGCAACAATCCATCCATTTCCGAAAGCTGGTGAGAGGCAAGCCAATGGTCGACCGAGAAAGCGCAAATGCAGTGAGATACTCACAAACAGCCCGGTGAAGAATGCAATCTACGAAGAATTATTGGCTAGTGCTGCAAAACGACAGGTAAGCAATTGCCGAACTGAGACGAGAACGAACAAAGAAAATTGTGACAACGCTAAGAAGAAAGTTACACGTGGAAAAAGAATTAAAAAGGAGTCTAAGGAAACGGAGAATTCTTTGCCAAAGAAGGACGAACCAAAGAAACGAAAGTCTAGAAATAAGAAAATAATTGTCTAGAAAACAGCGAAAACAATAACTTACTATAATCAATATTATAAAGATATTTATAACACAATATTACAAGATATCTATAATATATATATAACAAATATTTTAAAAGATGTTTATAAAAATAAAACATTCGTGCCTAATTCATCCTGCTCCACGTTTTGTTTTACTTGGCTCATTGTGCCCACCTGTCTGACACATTGTACCCCATCGGTGGGGTACACTGTGCCATTTCGCGACTTATTTTCAACCGATTTATATAAATATCTTTGATCTTTTTGCAGTAATGATTGCAGCTTTATTGTATACCCGAAGGTCTATAGAAATCGAATATGAATGATATTTTTTCATTATACTATTCTGGTAAAAGTAATTATTCGTTAGAAAAAAAGTGACACACTGTGCCCCACTCTCCCCTACTCCATCGGGGGGAGACCAGCGATCACCGCCGCCGCGTTGTACGCCACGGTCCGGTACGCCCTACAAATCCTCGCGGCTATCGGGCGAAACGCACGCGCCATCTGAGCGCGCGCGCGCCGCGATGCCGCGAGTTTTGGGGCCCATACTGGGGCCCCGTAGAGCGCCACGGACTTAACCGTATTGGCGTACAGCCGACGCACCTTGCCGTCCGGGCCGCCAAGGTTGGGGAGGAGCCGGCCAAGCTTGGCCGCTCTCACTCCCGCCCTGCTTGCGGCTCTGGCAAGGTGGCTCGCAAAGCTCCTTGGAAACACAGACCTAAATCTGATTTAGTAGAAAAAGTATCTTATGGTTATTATTTATCACTGCTTTCTAGCTTACAAAGATTACTCATTAATGAACAAGTGCGTTATTGTGTTGATAACCCAAGAAATGATGGGGATGTAATGAAATCTGTCTTGGACGGTCAATATTATAAATCACATAATTTTTTCAAAAGTACTCCTAATTCTCTTGCAATTATCTTGTATTATGATGAAGTAGAAGTAACTAATCCACTCGGATCACATACTCATAAAATGAGCATGTTTTATTGGTCCCTTGCCAATATCTATCCAGAGTGGAGATCTTCTTTTCGTGCTATTAATCTCCTTGCTATTGCATATTACACTGACATCGTTAATGGAGGTCTCAATAAAATTCTTGATAAACTAGTTAGTGAAATAAAAGTAATGCAAAATGAAGGTATTACTGTTCATATTAATGGTATGGAAAAGTCATACAAAGGATCTCTCTTAATGGTTACAGGTGACACACCTGCATCTGCATTTTTAGGTGGTTTCAAAATGTCTGTTAGTGCAGATAAGCCATGTCGTACATGTATGACCGACCAAGATAGGTGGAGAATGTATTTCATAGAAAAAGCCTTCACTTTAAGAAATATGGAGAGCCATTTAAATCACTTAGAAATAATTGAAGAACCTGATATGCTCCAAGGTACTCGTGAATATTGGAAAAAACATTTTGGAGTTAACACGAGAAGTAAATTGATTGATATTCCACATTTTGATGTAACAAGATGTCTTGTACAGGACATAATGCACGTCTTATGTGAGGGTGTTTTAGAAGCTGAAACAAGGCTTCTTATTAATTTTTATATTCAAGAAAAAAAAATTACTTTACAGGCGTTAAATAATCGCATAACTTCATTTAACTATGGCCATTTGCAGAAAGATAAACCGTCATTAATCAAAACTTGTCATCTTAAGACAAATCTGAAACAAACAGCTGCTCAAATGCTTTGTCTTGCACATGTATTACCATTTCTTATCAATGATAATCTATTTCATGAAAATAGATCAGAGGATAATGTTATTAACGATAGACTTTTAGTTCATATAAGACTGTTGCAAATTACAAATATTTGTTTTGCCTATGAAGTGACTAAGAATGACGCTACTTATTTAGCAAAACTCATACAAGTTTTTCTCACTCAATTTGATATTCTGTATCCTAATTCCATGGTTCCAAAATTTCACTTTCTCATTCATATTCCTCGTCAGCTTATCTTGTTTGGGCCAGCTCGTCAACAGTTTTGTATGAGATTTGAAGCTGCTCATGCTTGGTTCAAAACTAGAATTATTAGAAATTTTTAAAATATACCTCTGTCATTGTCGTACAGATATGAGAGCTTAAGGTATTCCGAATTAGCAAACATTTCAGGAGAATCATCGATAAAGTTTTTATATACTGGACACAAAATCAAAGAAGGTAGCATGCTTGATCTGACTGATATTCCTGAGCATGATTTATTGAAACCTTTTTTATCAATTTTAAATAAACAAGTTTCGATACCATTAATGCTCACGAAAAAAATAACTGTGAATGGTACAACATATGAACCAAATTCTACTATATTATTAAAATGCGAAGAAAATGATATGCCTGTTTTCGGTCAAATAATAAAAATATATATTCATGAAGAAGATATTCTTCTATTATATAAAGAATATGACACATTATATTATTGTGCAACTTTAAACGCTTATCTCATACAAAATTTAACACATGCTGATACAAATGTCATAAAAATAAATGATCTCATACATCCCCATCCTTTATCTATATTTTCTTTTCAAAGATCAAAGTTTATAATTCTTTTTAATTATAATAGAACAGAGTTCATCCAATAGCTTATAAGTCAACTGTAAAATCAATAAAAATTCTGAATAAAATATAAATCTAAAATTCTTGTAGTGTTGAAATACTGATATTCCTGCAAGAGTGCAATGAAGGTTATGTTTGCTGTCTTTGTTGTTATATTTTACGGTACATATAAAAAGTGTATATTTTTCAAATTCCTGTATAGCCTTATCTGTCAAAACACATTTCGACAATAACCTACACATTTTATTGCTCGGGGTCTAACGACTCTCGTTAAATTTCATTAATGTTAATTTAAGTACGGTTTTATTTACAAGTGCATTTAACACACATTATTACATGTGTGTTGCCGAAGTTATAAAGTGTGTCCTGTCAATTGCCGTGTTAACATAGATATTATCCAAGTGTGTTCTCAGCATGAACTGAATTTTATTCTGTGTCGAAGTAACATACCCTATGTGTGTTATAGGAAAGTAACACGTTTCCGCAGTATGTTATATATATCATAACAGAATAATGTGTCATTGAAACACACTTCTATTACTGAAAACAAATTCTTTTAACACACTTTTCAGCACATGTGTCAGAACAACACACTATCAAATGCTTATAAACACACATTTCTCCATACTTATTTTTGCATGGCTATCTGGGGATGAGAGGTGTGAGTTGGCTATAAGCGTAGCCGCGAAACTGACTCACTCGGGCTCGCTGTGTACAATTGTTGAACAGCGAGACCAAAATATAGCATGTAGTACAATTCGAATACATCACAATTTTCCCCTTTTAATTTTTTCCTGTCTTTTTATCCGCTCAGAGCACCGCAATACATTATTGCCTTTTTTAACATTTACCGTATTTTTATCGCCAATAGTTTCGACGTTTGTTTTAGTAACCTTAATTATTTGGTCGACATGTCGCTTCCAGATTACTCCAGGTGCAATTTCAACGTTAAACGTAACCGGCGAGAGTTTCTGTACGATTTTACCTTCGGCGCGATTATCATTCCCAGGGAGAAACGTGAAGTCGAATAGACGTATAATAGATGTCTATTCGATACGTCTAAAGTAGATCGAATTTCGCATCTAAATAGATGTCGATTTGACTCTTTTTAGACGCGTCTAATAGACGTCTTATAGACACGTCTACAAAACGTCTTGTGTAAACGGACAGGCTCTTGCTTACTGGATAGGGAATCACCACGCAGTTAGAAGTGACGCGGAGATATAAGATATGATCGTTTTTATTAAGATACTATTGACGTTAATAATAAAATAAATAAAATTTAGAAACTGAAGACAAAATAAACATCTGCCTGTTTTTTGGCTGAAGAAATCTAACATTCATTATGTTCTCTGACGGCATCAGCCAATCCCAATTTTGTGAACGTCTTGATTATACAGGGTGCTACGCAAGACTTTGACGTCCGGTCATGGGAAGGTAGAGGGGACTAAGACAAACAGAAAAGTATTGTACTATTTTGCGCTTGGACGAATAGTTATCGAGATACGAAATTTTAAAAATCGCCGTATTAGCCCAACCTACTGGCGAATGTAAGCGCGCGGTGA